TTATTTTATCTTGTGTATTTTCGGAAAACTTGCAGTCTGATCAGTTATTATGTTATCAAATTTAACAATATTAGTGCCAATTAAAAGTTCTCGCGATTTGAAAAGAAATGTATTGTAAAAAAAAAATATATAAATCCACAAAAAAGACTACCCACACGCACACTTATTTCAACACGAAAACGCCAACGCAGCGTTATAGGGCGTTTTGCGTGTCGATGGGGGTTATCGAGTATAATGAACACGTATTATATTAGCAGCGCGTGTAAACAGGCCCTTATCCACGCCTCGCTACTTTTCGTACCCTTTTAGACTTATGAACCGGTTCATTAATCGAGAGCCCGAGAAGACCCGTAGAAGGAGTCAAATATACAAATTTCTTACAATTTTTTTATATACCTATTTCTAGTTTTTACCTATATTTAAGCTTTTTATTCCATTTAGCATACATCTTGGTACTGAATGTACTATTCAACAGTACTAGAGGCCTTTTTACTTTTAGTTGTAGTTATGATCCTTTAGTTTCTTTTAATTAGTTTCGCTCCATTTAACAATCGACTTCGAAAATGGAGGAGTTTCTTAATACGGTCGCGTTTTTTTTATGTTTGTTAAGTAAGTTGAGCAGATTTCAAAAGTTATCTTATTCTAAGATAGAATTTAAATGAAGTATTAATTTAATATATGCTATTTGTACCTTACCTATTGATAATTATTTCGAATTATAGAAAAATGTGCGAGGGAAAATACAAAATGGGCCCAGTGGAGAGTTACTTATTAAAAATATACCCACATATACACCACAGGAAAGAAGACATCGTAAACTTGTTGAATACTGAAATGCGTCACTAGATAGAGTATCGGTTATTTATTGCTTTGAGATTTCGTTATTTTCTGCTGAAAATATTTAATGTTGTTGCCACCGCGTCACACCGGAAACAGATTCACCTGGAGAGTTGGAACTAATAAACTAGTGCGTCATCTTAAGTCATCGCATTCGTTATCCGGAAGAATTTTATTACTTTTCAGCTCAGCAGGGTTGTATGAAAATAAAATTTAACATAATAAAAACGAATATTTATTATTTAGGCATTTAAAAATAGAGGAAAATATGTTTTGACGATCAAGTAAATGTTATTTCATGTTACCTGTTATTTAACGTTTTGAATTCGCTGCGTGATAGCTCAGTGTCCGGGCGCTCGCCTTTAATTCAGTTTACTTTAGCAACCTGAGTTCAATCCCCGGTGCCAACGAAATTGTTAATTTTTTAGTGTTGAATTACCACTTGTTCAGCGGTGAAGGAAAACGTCGTGAGGAAACCTGAATATTTTCGAAATAATAATAAAAAAAAAGTGTCGAAAATATATGAAGCCCGCAGTGGGGTCGCGTGGTTAACTATGCCCTAATACCACCCTCTTTACAGAAGAGGCCTTTGCCCAGCAGTGGGACATTTATAGGATGTTACTTTTATTCGCGCTTTACGATGATGAAACTCGGTAGCAGGTCTTCGGAAACGAAAGTCCTCGGAACGCAAAGAGTTCGCTAAAATCGTGGCGAGCGGAGAACCTGGTATAAGATTCGAACACCCCTATATAGATTTATCTGTGGTAGGGCCTCGAAGATTTTGAACACGAGAAGTTGATTCGCAAATGGGCAGACGTATCCAGGCAAGTACCACGGCCTCACAGAAGACCGGCGTATTATTCTGTCACTTATCGTCCGGTGAGTGAGGTGAACGATGCTCACATTTTAATGTTTAAAACCCACAGTTAGTGTAACAACAAACACACTAGTTCGCCCTCGCTTCCGAGCACGGCGAGACCAACACAACGCGTACACAAGGTAACCCGCGTTCCGGGGCGGTTCTCACCATTCACCACTCCCAGCCACCGATTAGCTAATTGCACAGTCGACGGCCATCGGGGTTTCGGTCCGAACCGCGACCTCGATGGCCCTTAGATGACACACCATAGTTAAACGCACGCATGAGCACATGCGCGGCCCTACCCACAGCGGAGGGCCCAAACCCGTGGGTTCTGGCTACCCTACCGGTTCTGCGTCAGATGAAGCTTTAATAGTCTCGGGACTCAAAGCAAAAACATCAGTTAATACAAGATACAAGATGTTTAAAACGCATCTGCAACCCGTTAGGTGTTGTAGAAGTCCATGGGTGGCGGTAATAATTTACGGTCAGGTGAACCGCCTACTCGATTGCCAACTTTTGACATAAGAATAACCATTTTTTCACTAACGAAAAACAAATCCGAGTTCAAATATCTCACTCTGTATTAATTTTATAGTTGACTAACTGCTGTCCGCGACTACGTAGAATAGGCTGAAGGCGTAACATTCAGATAGAAAGACAGACATACATAATATATATATATATATATATATATATATATATATATATATATATATATATATATATATATATATATATATATATTATAGCCTATGTCTTATTCTGATGTATAAGCTATATTTATTGTAAAGTTTCATTAAAATCCATTCAGTAGTATTTGCGTGAAAGAGTAACAAACATCCATCCATACATACAATAACTTTCGCGTTTAAAATCCAATACCAATGAAATTAATATGGGACGACATGGGAAGCAACAGCTTTCAAATAAAAAAAAGAATCTTTATAATCGGTTCACGCAGTCAAAAGTTCTGAGATAACAAATACAGTCGAATTGAGAACCTCCTCCTTTTGTAGTCGGTTAAAAAGAAAGAATAGCGGATAACTCGAGCTCAAGAGGAAATTGTATATTCATTTTTGGGTTCCTACTATTTATTACGATTATATAAATATTATAGATTAATAAGAAACTGCCGTCTTTCTGTCTGTTCGACTGTATCTCGTGAACCGTTATAGTTAGACAGTTGACAATTTTCACAGATGATATATTTTTGGTGTCACTTTAAAAACAAATACTAAAAAGCGAGGCTCCCATGATACAACAGACATGATATTTTTCCCGTTTTTATAGGTAATAGTACTTTTAGCGTTAGTCCGACTCGCACTTGGCTGTTGTTGTTACTTTATCACTGTCCTACCTGAGACTACAACTACAATCTTCTAGTTTCACCTGCTCTTATCAGATCTCGGTTGAGTCAGTACAACAAGTGGATCCTATATTTATTGGCATTGGCCAAGTATTTCACGACGATCCTCCAGCCTAACGTTCACCCTTCTTGGGAATAAACGTCCAGTTTCGGAACTGGTTATCTGTGTGAAGGAACCAGGAATCCTCGACCCAGAAGACAACAGCTAAGCAACCTCGCCACCGAGTCAAATAAGAGACTACAATATTAATATGTTGCATATAATCTTATTATATATTTACCTATAAATTACATGTCACGTTGTTTGTTCGCTATGGACTCCTAAACGACTTAACCGATTTTAATGAAATTTGCACACCGTGTGCAGTTTGATCCAACTTGAAAGATAGTATAGCTTACATCTCAGTTTATAGTCACAATATTATTTTATTGCAAATTATTTGTTTATTAAATGAAAAAAGTTATGAGTATCTGTGAGTTCCATAAAATTCTAAAAGACGCTGTAAGGTAAATTTAACGGCTGAATTGAGTAAGTATCTAATACGAGTACATGGCGATACGTTAAAAGTCCAAACGTATAACCCGGTAGATTTGACGCAGACGAACGGGCCAACTAGTAAAATATATATTTAAAAGACTTACAGGATCAGTTAAGAATTGCTATTCAAAATTGAATTATACGATTCGCCAATGAACTTTTTATTTTAACTCAATGATCACGTATAGCTGTCACTAAACAAATTATATAGACGAAGGAATTCATATAGAAATCGGCACTTATGATTAATTTTGCTCGGAAGCATATGGACGGCCAGTGCTTATGCCAACCAAGCCAAATATAATTATGTATACAGTCTGTTAAGTTTTTAATGTATACAGGTGTAATTTTTTTTATGTATATTTACATGATGTTAAATTTTTCAGGTATGCTTACAGGATGTTATTTTTTCCGTCATAAAAACGTGAAAGGCTTACGTTAGACAAAAACTGTACACTAAAATGATTTGTCTCATCGACGTTGTCTTAGTTAGCACTTAAACGGTATCGTTATCGATTACATTGAGAGCTTATCCACTATTAAGTTAGTCAAGTTTCTCTAAGCCAACTTGAGCGAAGTAATAAAGTTGCCACTTTGAAATTCCGATATCCAATAGGGTCCTACTGTATTATTAAGTACTAGCTGTGTCCGCGACTTCGTCCGCGTGGAATTTAAAATAAAAAAAATCTAAAATAAACGTAGCCTAAGTAACTCCTTATTACATCAGCTATCTGCCAGTGAGTCCCGTCCAAATTGGTCCAGCCGTTTCAAAGATTAGCCGGAACAAACAGACAGACAGACAGCCAGCCAGCCAAAAATTGTATAAAATGTTATCTTGGTATATGTAAGTAAATTTTAATATTACAAACAGACACTCCAATTTAATCTGTATAGATGTATAGATTATGTAATCACTTAATCTTCACAGTCCTTTAGAAGTTTGCAAGTCTATGAAACTATTCTCTTCACTTCATAAAGAGAATAGTTTCTTATGACGCATCTTGCTCCAATTCAAGCGTTTATGGTAAGTTTAAAATTCAAATATAAGAAAGCTATTTTAAGAGCTTAAGCGTCATACAAGTCTGCCTTACGAGTTTAATGAACTTATCACTAAATGTGGATTCTGTTTGCTCACTAAATCATTAATATTAACACGTTCATTACCACTACGATTTTCATGATGTCTTCTCAGATGCCGCCTACATTTTCCGGTGGACTCACCAGGTGAGTCGCCGGCACTGCTATATAAATTGAATCGACTCGCCACGCGAGTTCACTGGCACTACTTATGGTAAATTCTATGTTTTGTTATTTTTGTGGCCGTCACAGTGTACAACGCAATTAAAAAGTGTTTTAGGACTTGTCTTTTTTTCTTTAAAAAGTGTTTTAGCTTGTAAATGGCAAAAAACTCTTCGGATAAAAAAAAAGGTAAGTGTGTTTCGTAATTTAAGCAGTGGTTGTCAATCTTTTTAACTGTGGTTACTGTTAAGGTTATATTTTGAATTTTGTAATATGTACTTGTAAATAGACAATTTTACCCTGAAATACGGGCTCTCAGTTTTAAGAATATTGTATCAGATTAAAATATATAATTTTTATTGCGAATTTAATTGATAACAATTAAAAAAAATAGTTTTTGAAAACGTTTAAAATCTGTCGAATTAAAATTAAATGATAACTTATTAATATGCAATAATTATAGTGTCTTTAAATGAAACAACATTTTTATTACGTTCGTTTGTTAAGAAGTGCCTGATATTTTTTTAGCGCGGTTTGTGGCAGAAACGGAGCCTTACGACGACGATTTAACTCAGATGGAGGAGGAGAGACCTACAAAGCGACCATGCATAGAAGGTAACGTGTTTGTTTTGTTATTGATTATTTTCATTTTACTTATCTTAACAACGTTTTACCAGGTGGTAGGCCTTTTATGCTAGGTACGACTACCTGTGGTGGACACCAGCAGTGCCAGATATTCAGCCGCCAAATAGTAATGCTCTGTTCCTGTTTGAATGGCACTGTAGCTAGTGAAATAACTGGGCACATGAGACTCAAGAACTGACTTCTCACATTGATGAGCGCAGTGCAGTGCATCCAATGACTGTAAATCAAAGCAATGGGTAGCACTGCAACTGTTATGAGCTGGCATGACGCTTACCATCGTGTGAATGTCCAGCACGTCTCATCACTTGTTTACATAAAAAACATGTAATATTTAAAAGCTGCTTTATTCCTATTTTTATTTTATTTTAGGAAATCTCCAAAATTACACTGAAGACAACTCGATGAAGGTTCTGTTTGAAAATGATTCTCAAGACTGGGATGACGACAATAATAACTATCAAATATATCAATAATAACTAGCATCCAAATTGCTGTCGCCGGGCCGTATAAGGCTGGCAACGAAGTATTGATAGTACATATTTATGTAATACTCTATAACTCGAATTTCTAAAAGGAGACTCCGTAAGTCGTAGTTAGTACAATATAATGACGTCTTACTTGGAATTCCCCGAAATAATAGCAATAAAATCCAAAATGAATGTTCGGGTTCGGGGCTTCTAATCTATTGTTTTTGTCTTATACACGTGCAATGAATGAAAACAATCATAAAACTTTATAAGTAACACAGCTGTGTTATGTTTGTTCCTTGTCGACACGATTACTTTTAACGGAGCTTGTCCGTCAGTATTAATTTTTAAGTCGAAGTTTCAGCGCATTTAAATCATATGTATCTCGAAGTTTTTGGTAAGTCGAAAACTCGTTCGAAATTGTTAGCATTTCCCTTAACATTCGAGTTATTAAGATTCCACTGTAGTTTGTGGTATATTGGTTCCATATCACAAGTATGTAGGTAGTCCTTGCTACTATGTTGACGTCGCGACATATTTACTTTAAAAGGTTGAGGATCTATGGCAGCGAACTCGCCTAGCGAGTTCAAGGCATTGCAGAATAGTTTTTTTCCATTCAAATATAAACGGGGTCTCCGCACCCGGCCCACCTCGTAAATCTTTAGTTTAGCATATATTTAGTCTAAACTATAATTTTGAGCAGAAAATACGGATGCATTTTCGAAATATTGGTGAAAAACACTGAACTCGCCAGGCGAGTCGTCGGCACTGGAATAAAATTTACGTGAACTCGCCGGGCGAGTCGGTGGCACTGAACGTGTTAATGATTGATGACATTGTAGCCGGATCTTAATGAACGAGATAGTTTGGAGTTACACGGTAAATTTTGGGTTCAATGATACATTGCTCTTCTGGAAGACGGCGGTTGTCAAACGTAAAGTTAGACAAGTTGTCACGTCTGTAACCTTAACAGAGTTGATAGATACTGTTTAATATTACCTTACCTTCTTAAGTATTAAACTTAAAAAGATTACATTATTATGTGCACAAGCTGTCTCAATTCGGGACCTTTGATTTAAATCGAGAGGTCTCTCGGGAAAAAAACACAATAGTAAATGCTATTATAATAATATCTAGTGTGGTAAGACCACGCGGCAGCTTCTGCTGTTGCACTAATGGGCAGGCTCGTCGGGTAAACTCGCACGGTCTCACAGTGTGAGTGAGGTAACCGGGGCACACTTTTTAAAGAGGCTTATGCAGCCCTTCAGCATGCATGTGCAGGGTTGCATAGACCCTTAGGTTTTGTGGATGTACATTGGCTGTAGAAATTACTTTACAAACCTGCTCGCCTACTTACATTAATTCACATGGAAAATATAGGACGTACATTATAAAGATGGTATCTTAAGTAATAGCCAGATGATAACTCAAAAAAAAAAAACATAACATAAAAAAGCACCTCGTAACTCTAAAGGTATTATATAAAAGTACTAGGCAATCATAAAAACTGTAGCGATAGAGATTCAATGTGTACACGTTTGTACGTATAAATGAAACCACAACGCGGACGTAGTCTGTCGTTCGCGAGCACATCGCGCTAACGATTCCATTCAGCGGCTCCTTTGAACTTGCGTATAACAATTCACGTACGTCTCTAATTCAAAGGTAAAGGCTGCGCCAGAAATAACTGTCTTATGCAAAAGTAAAATTAGGTACATACAAAGATACCGCACTATTATTATAGACGATATGCCTAATGCTATACTGTGGTTGCTTCCACGTAGCTGCTTCTATTTGTTACACGAATAAGTTGGTGTGCTGGTTAGGCGGTTCAACTGATTTTAAGTAAGAGATTACGGCCGCCCAAGGACATCTGCAACAACAGAAGGATCCCAGATGCGTTGGCAAACTTTTAAAAACAGTAGACCTCATCGGACGAAAGGGGAAAGTACATAATTTCCACTTAACGTCGGTCTTCTGTAAGAATTAGTAATATTAATAAACAAATTGTAAATTAAGGAAACTGTAATTTTTTTCGCTTTAGGTCACGATTATCATGTGTTATAAATCCGTTTTGCACGGAATAGCACACAGATCTAGAACAACTATTGAACTCAGAGACACAAGTAGTCGACTCGTGTACTGAATTTAACAGAGTCAAGGCTTGTACACGTCAAACGCACGTGCTAAGTGACAAAAATATCCTACCAATCCATAGGACGGGTATACCTCATACGAATTGCATTAAGCTCGATTTGATACTAAAAACAAAATGTTAGAATCATAACAAATATATATGACAAGCGGACCAAAGATGTAGTGCGGCTTGTTTTTTAAGGTTTTGCAACAAACACAAACTCTAAGAAACAAAGAGAATAATGTGATAACTGAAGTAATGTTTAGTCTTTATCTAGTGATGAGCAAGATTTTTAATCGAGAAATAATTAGTTTGTATTGCGAGACATACAGAAAGGAAAGATATGTAGAATAACAATGTGATTAGAGTTTCAGTGTGCACACGCCGTTAGGGCTAACTCTTAAAAGACAACAGAGGTTTAATTGTGTGCAGTGCACGTTGAAAAGTAAACTGGCAAAAAAATATTTTTAGCAGACCTTTTGTTGGTGAAATAAATGTTGTCAGACAACAATTTTTAAAACACACACTGGCATACACAAGCGGAGGCTTACTTAAAAGCTTTGAGTAAAACTTATAGTAATAAAATATTCCTATTAATTAAATAACGTTGTTACTTAACATAAAATTCATTTATTTTGACGATAAAATTCACCTTTGTAATTCATTCACAATTTGTAATTAAAAATAATTCTTCTTTTTTGTATATTAAAAATTCTATTAGAACTCCATATAAATTAAGAATGAAGACAGAGTGTCTCATGAATGAGTAATTAGATTAAAATCTATAATGAATTTATAATGAGTATATGTGTATGGATTATGATTATGATTATTATGATTATTGTGGAATGGATTATCTGTGGAACAACTGAACTGATTTTTTATTACATACATAATACATATGTTCTGATACTTTAACTATGAATTTGTTTAGATTAATAACCAAAACTCTCGGCGATGTGGGATTTCAGCTTGTATCTTCCGCCCAGAAGACGAATGTGCTAATCCCACGGCGTCGAAATTTTCGACAATTTTCGATTCTTGTTTTTTAACATTAATTGTCCATTCATCTCGAGCGCAGTGACTAGCACAAAAAATAAAATTAGTCATATACTTCGGTAATAAGCTTATATTGCATTTAAATAAAAGCTAATTATATATCAGAATTTTATTTTTCAAGCAGTTGGCGATAGTGAAGACATTTTTTTTTATTTCACTTTAATTTTGGACCAATCAGGACCGGTAGTCTCATAATCATCATCATTTCAGCCTATTTGAGTCCACTGCTGAACATAGGCCTCCCCCACAGACTGCCATGAAGTACGATCCTGAGCCACCTGCATCCATCGACTTCCCGCACATTTGCACAGCGCCATATGAGGAAGCTCAAAGTCGCTCAGCGAGCTATGGAGCGGGCTAGGCTCGGCATTTCTCTGCATGATAGAGATCGTAACGAAGACATCCGCAGTAGAACCGGTAGTCTAATCACAATTAATACGCAATTCCAATTGTTCGTTAAAGTTAAAGCCGGACCCTACTGTCCCTACTACAAAGGTGTTATTCGTGTAATTTGTAAATGGAGAATCTTTAAATTACTACTATTTAATATACCTACTTAAATGTAAAGCAACAGCCTACACATGTATTACTGCTAGACAAAGGAGTACTCTGTACAGAGGGCATAGTCCACCGCGCGACTACATCGAGGATTGGAAATGTTGTTTAACACGATGTTTTCCATCCAATGTAACAAGTCAGCTTAAATTGCAATCAACAATTTCATTGGTGCCAATACCGGGATTTGAACTAGGGTTGAACGAGGGACGAGGGTTTTGAATTAAAAGCGAGTGCCCGGACACTGAGCTATCGCGGCTGGCTTAATAAAAACTTATAAAGAGGTCACATTAAAGGTGTTCACTGTACGTTGAATCTAATGTCACCTGTCTTCGTTCGTTGGCCGTGCTAACTTCACCTTTCTCAATTTACATTTTAGCGACGGGCAGTTGGCTGATGTTAATGATTCGGTTATATCATACTTTTTGTAGCAGCTAACCAGAAGAATGTACGAATAGTAGAGAAGAAAATTTACTAAACAACGATCTTAAAAAACCGATAGCGTTTCCAGTGATATTCGCATTAAACAGTTCAGGTTTAATAAATCATTTCATTCGTTTTAAATTGTAATTTTCTGTAGATAAATGAACAAAAATTTTCGCCAATGCGGGATTCGAACCTACGTAATTTTATTAGTTTATCAAAGGTCTAAAACAATTCACATAATATTCCAAGTACCTGGAGGACCGAGCTTTGCTTGGTTTGTCTTCTTTTTTTTGTTAAATCGTATATTTTAGAAATTACATTTAGATACAAATTACTGAGTAATGAAATATGCATAATATTTTTCGATCTTACCGACGTAATAATAAGAAAATATGAACTGGTGTTTTTCACAAAAAAAAGAACTTTAAAAAAAAAAAAGGAAAAAAGAACAAAATCGAAATCATCTGGATGTACAAAAAATAAAGAAATCAATGATCTGGAATCGAAAAATAAGTATGTAAATGATCGTGACACGAACCACGGCCTTCTATTTCGGGGCCGCCCGATTACCGACCGAGCTATTATAACATTTTTTGCGGCGAAATTTACCGTCATATTCGAATGATATTTTTCATTCCCTGAAAACAGGGATAAAACGACATTTTCTAAAAATGAAACCTAGCTAGATCGATTTTTCGCCCCCGAATTTACGCACATAAATGTATACTTAGTGGGCTATTTGCAGATATTGTTTTTGTTAATAAAAATGTTATTTTCACAACGATTGTGTACACGACTGTACGATCGCGCGCGTCGCTGTCGCCAC